AACTATTTTTATTTATAATTTATTTATAAAATTGGATCCATAAGTCTTAATATTATTCTAATTAATGTAAACATTGATTGAGAACTTGAAAAGTTGAATGCATTGAAATAGTTTGCTTGATTTTTCTCAATTTGATAAAAAAAAAACAGTCCCCTGTGATGTTATATTGCAAAAGATACACAAATATCGAAAAAGCAAAAATTAAATCTGTTTATTTATTATGATTAAGATAGTTTTGTAGCCCTTGTTAATTTTTTTTCTAATAAAATCAAAAATAATTTGCTCGGACAATTTTGTACAGATTTAAGACGTCCTTACAAAAAATCACCCATATGTATAAATATGAATAGCTAAAAGCTAATGTACTTATGTACAAACAATCAATAAAAAACAGTACCTTCAAAATTTCCGGCTCCCAGTCGTCTAAAGTCAATGACCTGACTTTACTATAGTGAACTCCAAGACTTCGATGAATCCCAGAGCACTCTATGCACAAAGTGATGCCCAGGTTGATGCTAGCCCACTTAGGATTCAAACTTCCGCAATCACAACAAGTGTCATTCCCTGGAATCTTCAATAATTGCTCCCAAACTCTGGTTTTTAATTTAGGAGCTGGTCTTATAGGTCCCCTTGAATTGTTCCTTTGGAACTCCAACGTTTTAATTGGAGACAGTGTATAAGAACTAGTACCTCGTTGAATAGCAGCTCCAATAGCCTGCTGCATCGCTGTTACCCAAGCTAAGTACATTTCTTCACTATCAGCTTGAAGAATGTGACTCTTAGTGGGACTTAGGACTTCAAAGCAATTACGTCGCTCGCAATCTACAATTGACTTTACTGTACAGAGGCGCAAGTCTTCTTCCATTACTGTGTACTCGTCGTCTCCAGTACGCTTCTTATAAACTAATTGATGATCTTTTAAGCAGAACCATCTGCGGTTCCAGGTCTTGAAGGCGTTGCTAGTTCGCTTGAATAAGTAACCTTCCATTCGTTTCTTACTTGGACCTTCAATAATTGAAGGAACCAAATCACGGCTGGTTACATAAACGTGGCGGTTCTCCATTTCTTTTTCTAGCTTTGAAGAATCCTGCCGCATTACTATCAAGTCCTCGCTTAGGTCCTTCAAGAAGGAGTCCAAGTCCTGGGCTAGGTCTGAACCTTGGTGGTAGTAGGTGAAGCACGCGTGCATGTAGTTGAGTAAGGAGCCCAAGATTTCGTGACGTCGACGAGATTGTAACATTGTTAGGGAGTGGACGTAGTCCAGAGCGGTGTGGCGGAAACATGAGCGGGTGGCTGAGAGGATGTTAGAGGCTTCTTCGTACTCAGATGGCCGGGTTTTGGGGACTTGGGAGTTGCGGTTTAAAGCTATGTCCAGGTCGTTGGAGATCTTTTCGAAGTAGTGACGGGATTCTTTAGCTTTTTTGATGTCACTGGAATTTTATTAATTTTAATTTAAACAAATTTATTAATTAATTAAATAGGGGATTACATGGTATCTTGTGAACTATTGACATTTTTAAAGATATAAGCTCATCTTGATGTTACATTCATTGAGACCTTATAATATATCAAAAGTTGATGTGGGTACTCAAATGAAAGGTCTTGATGAGTGTAACGTCGGAATGAGCTTATATCTTGAAAAATGGCAATAATTAAAAAATGACCTTGTATTTTGTCAACTACTGACATTTTTAAAGATATAAGCTCATCCTGATGTTACACTAATTAAGACCTATCATTTGAGTACCCACATCAATTTTTCATATATTTTATATATTTATATATATTATAAATATAAATATATGAAAAATATATAAAAAATGCAAGTGGGTACTCAAATGAAAGCTCTTGATGAGTGTAACATCAGAATGAGCTTATATCTTTAAAAACATTAATAGTTAAAAAAGTATAGTGTAATTTAACAAAATTCATTATTAAAAAATAAATTTAATTAAATAAAAAAAATTTCTCAAAGAAACAGTCAGGTCACTCACCACACTGTAATTATCGACAATAGTTATTATTGTAATAATACCTTTTTATAAAAGCACTGAGGTCTCTAACAACTGTTCTCGATGCTTGATCCAATAGTATTGTGTGGAATTTATTCATTTCTTGCAACGCCTGGATTAATTTATTTAAAAAACTCATTACTTTTTCATCATCGGTAAAGTATTGAGATAATTCCCACAGGCTGCTAGTGAACTGGCTGGAAAAATATTATTTATAAATAATAATTAGATAATTGGTCATTTATATATTAATATAATTTATATAATTTATAAACAGACATTAAACATTTTTTTTATTAACTAAATTAGAGCTAAAAAAATATTTAAAAAAATTGCATCTATTTGTTTTTTAATTTTCTACATTTGCAATTTTTTTTAAATTTTTTTTGAAACAAATTTTTCAATAAGAAAAATATTAATTTTTAAAAAATATAAAAATTTTATTAATAAAAAAATTTAAACGGATATGACATATCCTTAATATTATACAACTGTCAATAATTGGTGGGAAAGTCGAAATGACTCATACATTTCTGACCAGCATAAAAAAAAAACTACGAATAAAAAAAAAAAAAAACTTACTTCTGTTGTCCGACGAATGTTTTCCCAGCATCAATCATTAAATTACAATATTTTAATACCTATAAAAAACAATCTACCGTTAACACGATCAACTTAAACAATAATAATAATAAATAATAACAATAGTTATTTAATTTACCTTATCTAATTTTTGCTCCAGCTGATCTATATTCCCCTCGACAGTTTCGATGCATGATCTAAAATTAAAATAAAAATTAATTTTATAAATTTTATAAAAAAATAAATTATTTAAAAAAAAATTGACATTTTTTAAAAACAAATTTGTTAAAAAAAAAATAAAAAATATTCATAAAATTATAAATTGTAATATTAAAATAAAATTTACAAAATTATAATTTTATAAAAAATATAACAATGGATAATTAAAAAAAAATTGCGTGAAAGTAACAAATAAACAATACAGAGCGTGAACAAAGAAATTAACTGATCCAAAAAATTTTTATTAACTAATTAAATTAATTAATTAATAATGATTTAAAATAAATGCACTAGTAAAATTAAAAAAAAATAATAATAAAATAAAAGAAAACAATACCGAAATTTTGGAGTATCTCGAAGACATTCATCAAAGTCTATCAAAGTCTTCATGATTTTATTTTATTTATTTATTAATTTATCCAAACAAATTTATTTACTTTTAAAGTTTTCATAAATTCGTTGATTAATAAAGAAACAAACACTTAAATTAATATTTTTAAATGTAAATATAAATTAAGTTTAACAAAATTATTTTTCACTGTAATCGTGCCTACATGTAAACACTCGATTTACTTCGGGTGCTTTCGAGTACCTTCGGATGTTGTGTTTAATTTATTGGTTTATGATTCTGCGCAAGTCTTAGCGTAAAGCGCTAAGTTTAAAACTTAAAAAATACTAAAGTTAATTAACCAATTATTTTATTTATTAGCTGAAAATATAAAAAAGATTTTTTGAGGTAATTTTTTTTTAAATTTAAAATTTCAATTTTTTATTTTATTTTTTACCATAAATTATATTTATATATATATATATATATATGTTTTATTTGCATAACTTTACAAAGTTTTATACAAAGGTTTTTTACGACTATATAAATATTTGAATATTAGATAGATATTTAAAGATATTATTAATATTAAAAAGTAACTTCTATAAAGATGATTATTTTCCCAGCATTTTTCAACTCGTATATATATTTAAATATATTATTTATTTATAACACTTAATTTTATCCTTTGGTTTTGCCTTTTCTCATTTTATTGCCAATCTTTTCTTCTCTTTACCCCTCGGCATTTCTCACACTGTTCTCTGCTCCACCTCTGCACTTTCTTCTCCAATTTTTTCCGCTTCTGTCTTGCTTCTTATTGATTTTTCGACTTTACGAAAAATTTCACAAAAGTTCACGTCTATTTCGCCTTTTAATATCTTACATATTTCACTTTCGATCTCTTCTTCCTCTACCAATTTGTCCCACTTTTCCATATATTTTCTTTCCTTTTCGTTCACTCCTTTTTTATCTCTTTGCACTTTATTAGATGTGTTAAGGTTTCTATGGAAATATGTTTTCTTCACATAATCTGCACGTCCACTCTGTATAACCTTTCTTGTAAGCTCTCCCAATGTTTCCACATCTTATTCTTGCCCATTGTTCTTTATCTTCCCCCCTTTTCTTGTCATCCTTCCAGTAATTATATCCATCTTTTTCGATCATTATTTTTTTATACATTTTATTATAGCTTGACCTCTCTATAGCTTTTTCATCGTCTTCTTTAAGTTTTTCTTTATATCTTTCTACCCCTGCATTAATTTTTTCATCTATTTTTTCTTTTTCTTCTTTATTATATATCATTCCTGCTATTTCTTCACATCCCATTTCTTTTATCGCTGCATGTAGCTTTCTACCCCATTTTGCCGGATTTCTATTTAGGATTCCTCTCATTTCTTCCCGCAGCGCTATTTTTGGCCATCTATCCTCCTCCATTGCCAAAACATCCTTCACATATCTAGCTGCTCTCTCCCTCGTAGTTGCCTTTATGTTTTGCACTCCTGCTTCTGTTCTCCAAATGTACCCCGGAGTATTTCTATTAACCCCTAGTGCCATTTTACAAAACCTTCCCTGAACCCTCTCTATATCTTTTACTCCTCCCCATCCCCAAACTTCCACTCCGTATAGTGCTGCTGCTCCTACTACTGTGTTCATTAGGTAGATTCTATCCCTCATTCTGTTTCTTTTGCTTCTTTTAATGACTCCCCAGATTGTATTAGTCAGTAGTATATATAATATATCAGTTATAATATATCAGTAGTAATAATAATAATCATAATAATCAGTAATAACTCCATAGTAGTAAATGAATAAATCAATAAATCAGTAATAGTAAATAATAATAAATCCGAGTAAATTTGAATTTATCTCTAAGAGATCATTCTAGCACGACCATATATAAAAATATGATTTTCGGACGTGCATAGACCGATTAATAATTATCTTGGCAATGAATTTGCCCAGGGGTACGGATGGGCACACATTTTTTACGAAGTGATCGAATTTCTTTTCGACGAATTTTTTGAAACATGGTGGACGCAGAATGTATAATAGTATACTTAGAGATCTTTTGTTGATCTCTTTTTCCTGGTCCAACGTATATTTTTCATCTGATTCCTCATTACTAATAATAATCAGATTGAAGATGCCAATGCTGAGGGCAGTGGTCCAAGGTAGCCAGCTTTCTTCTCCTTTTAGATAACGAGTTGCCAGATAAATCAATGGCTTTAATATACACAACGTCTGGAACATTTTTAATATTTGTCTAATTAGTTTTAAATTTAGTACAAAAAAATTCTGCATATAAAATACCTCCCCCAACATTGAGATACAATTTTTTTTTAGCCTGTGTAAAAAAAAATAATTTAAAAAATTTTCAAAGTTTTTTAAAAAATTACTTTAAAATTTTTTATTTAATTAATAATCTATGAAACTTATTCGTTCATTTGAAAAATAGCATAAATTATTTTTTAAAAAAGTAATTTTAACAATATTAAAGAAATAGAAAAATTTATTAAGTTACAAAAGTAATATTAAATCAGTAGTACCTAATAAATCAGAACACATTTTAAATTTATCTTCAAGAGATCATTCTACGACGACCATAAATAAAAGTATGACTTTTCGGCGTGCTTAGACCTCTTTATAATCACCTTGGCGATCTTCGTGCCAAGGGGTACATATGGGCACACATTTATTACACAGTAATTAAACTTTTTTTCAATGAATTTTTTGAAAAATGGTGGACGCAGAATGTATAAAAAGACATTAAGGGATCTTTTGCGGATTTCGTCTTCTTGATCTATCGTATATCCTTGATCTGATTCCTCCTTTTTAATTATAATCAGATTGATCAAGTTAATGCTGAGCGCAGTGGTCCAAGGTACCCAGCTTTCCTCTCCTTTCAGAAAACGAGTTGCCAGATAAATCAATGGCTTCAATATAAACAGCGTCTGGATTAATTTTTACTCTGGATTGAATAATAAATATCATCATCCATTGTCCAGAATCTCCCCATAACTCTTTAGCCGTAAGTTCGAACAATGATTCAGTTTACTCAATCGTTGACAACCATCATTTTATTCGAGACTCAAATTGAGGGAGTTGCAATTTGCTATACTTGGTATATTATAAAGTAGCCGATCATGCAGCAATACGAATAATTTTGGCGTTGAGTACGTGAGTTCATTTCGAATCAGCGACTCAGAAAAGTGACCTAAAAATAAAAAAAAAAAAATTTATTAATTATAAAAATATCCAATAAGTAAATAATTAAATGAGCATACCTGCAGTAAAATATTTTCAATGATTTTTGGTTTTAAAAAGGTAATTTATTTATCGTCTTTTCTATATACATTATACAAGTAATAAACAGCCTTAAATCAACTTAAACATTAACAAAATATTTTTAGCTTGTCATCAGTTGGTGCTTCTTACCAATTAACAATATATTAAAATTTTTATATCTTTTATAAATGTTTTTATAATTAATATCAGTATCTTTCAGAGCTGTGGTATATAGGTATTTTCAATATAAAATCAATGGAATGCAAATTGTTTGCTATCCATTCTTCGTACGCATTCCAACACGAGGATATTTTAAATAATATCTGCGCTACCATGATTTAATATAATAAACTTCGAAATAATTAACAGAAAAGAGTAAACTTAAATTCTTTATTTTATTTGTTAAATTATTATATTTGGCAATGTAAAAATTATGAAATACTTAAACAATTTTTGTAGGTTGGTTCGCGAATTATAACTGTAATGATTTCACGTGTGTTGTCAGAGCGTGACTGCAAGAATACTCTTTGACTGAGGCTCAACTGGGAACCGGCTTAACACTATGCTATGTTTATAACTATATTTCTATCCTTTTGTTTTTTCTCAGCTGTTGACGCGATGTTGTCAAATGTTTATTCGAAAAAATGGCTGACGATAAACCAGTTACAAACATTAAGGTTGTACGGACACTAATGCACTTTTGAAGATCAGAAGCTAATTTTTTGATATGTTATGAATTGCTATCTCATACGTCTAAATTATTTTTTTTGAATAGATCTGTCGAAGGGTTATCCTTTAATAAATTATTACAAAATTGAAATTTAACATGTAGCCTATAGAGACTATTGGCGGATTGCACATATATCGATTTATGTGACTGCCTCATAGGAAGATTAAAAAACAAAAAACTTCTATTTCAGTCAATCAACTTTCGTAGAATACGTTAAAAATAAAATGAAAATTTTCTGCCGAAGGCTTTTAAAGGTATTTTAATGCAAAAGATGAGAAATTCACGAAAATTTCAGGCCGACATATTTAAAAATAAACAAACCACGTGATTCAGCGCAGTGTGGCAACGTTGCACAGAATAGAACGCGCAAATTTTGAATTTTAATAATTCCTGTGTATTTTTATGGGTTATGTTTTTCAACTCAACACTACACAGTGAGATAAATATAAACAGCTGTTAAGTGCGGTGTTGTCAGGTCCAAGTTTTGTGAAAAAATACTTCAGTCAAACGTTGACTATTTATTGTTGTTGTTAATTAAATTATTAAATTATTTTATTTAATAATAATGTAAGGTAACGATTAAATTATAGTAATGAATTTTCGTATTTAAATTTTTAAGTTTAATGAAAAAAAAATTTAGATTCTACTATGACTTACGGGGTACTGTCCGTGCAACCTTAAATTTGACTTTAAATATTTCAACAAATTATATCGGTAATGTATTATTATTAAATTGTTTTTATATTTTGCAATAATTCAAGTTTTGCGTGTATAGTTTTTTATCCGTTAAAGTTGGGAGGTTAATATTGACAAAAAATAATTAAAGTCTCGACAAAACGTTTGTCCGCCATAAGAGTCCGTGTATAAGGAGATAAAATATGTGATTTTTAAAATTTAATATCTAAGTAACTAAACGGTCAATCTTATTTAAATTTTCGGATTAGATAAATTACGTATTTATTTATACGTATACTTAATTTCAAACAAAGTTGCAAATTATTTTTTACATTAGATTCGCTCGAACCTCCTTAATTCAAATATTTTACAGCTGTCAGCTAACTTCACAATATAAGCAGCTAGTAATTTTTTTTTCCTTAAATTTACTATAGGAAATTTAATTCTCACTATTTTTATTTTGGTAGTTCCAACATCCACATGGACACTAGAGACAGTGTTACATGTTACATTTATTATTTATCACTAAATAAAAAAATACAGCTGTTTCATCGTAAATTATAATATTAATTTTTTAAAAAGTAATTATGGAAGACTCAAGCGAGTTGTTGAATGAAACTGATGGATTTTCCCAATTTATTGGAATTATAATTGCTGTTGCGGTAATAATATTCACTCTGGGTAAATATTTTTATTTATAATTCTCTAAAAAAAATAAAAAATCATCTAAAAATTTATTTACAAATTTTATTACTTAAAACAAACGTATTTCATAATATTTACAGTAATTATAAAACATAAGTAAAATTAATATTAAAAAATACGCACATAATACATTATAATAATACATGTAGTACAAAAAAGAGTACATATCATAAATTAATTATTTTTTATGTAAAAAAAAAAAAATAATTTTTAATTTGTACTTAAATTTTTTCATGTGTCTTTAAATATTTAAGACACTTAGAGTTTGTTTTGCGCTTTTTCAGTTCTAGTTTTGGAGTGTACATTTTTTTTTTTTTTAATAGTTTTATAATTTATGATTGATAAATTTTTTTAGTTTTCTTCACATTCTGGCAGAGAAGAAAATCAGCAAAACGGAATATTCTTCTTACTGGATTGTGCGAGGCAGGAAAAACTTATTTGTTTACTCGATTTGTTCAAGATAGATGTATTCCGACTTATACATCTGCAAGAGAAAATATTGGAGAGATTAAAATTAAAGATGTAAGTTTTTTTTTTTTTTAATATTTTGTGATTAATTATGGATAAAATTAAACTTAAAAGACACTTGATAATTTTTCAGATTTCTTAAAAAATAAACAAGGTTTAGAAATTTACTTTCAAAAAATTTCATTTAGAATTTTTTAGAGCTTTAATAAAATTTTTAAGACCATTATTGCAATTTTAGAAAATAAAACAAATATTATATTATTTTATTAGTATATTAATTAAGTAGAAATATTTTTTTTTATTTAGAAGCTAAAAAAATTTTTTTTTCGCTTTTCTTTAGTATTCTTAATTTTTTTTTAAGGCATTAAAAAACAGTACTTAGTTTAAAATTAAACTAGCACCTTTGCAGTCACTACGTGATTGCCGTAGTGAACTATAAATAAATAAAATTTTGCTTTATTAAATAATGACTTTTGTTAAATTGCACGGTAGTTTCTTAACTATTGATGTTTTTAGATATAATCTTATCTTGATGTTACACTCATCAAGAGCTTTCATTTGAGTACCAACATGCATTTTCATATATTTTTCATATATACATATATATAATATACATAAATATATGAAAAATTGATGTGGGTACTCAAATGAAAGGTCTTGATGAGTGTAATGTCGGGGTGAGCTTATATTTTTAACAATGTCAATAGTTGACAAGATACAATGTAATTGCTTAATTACTGACATTTTTAAAGATATAGGCTCATTTTATTAGTACACTCACCGAGACCTTTCATTTGAGTACCCACATGCCATTTTTTATATATTTTATACATATATGATATTTGTGAAATATATAAATATATAACATATATGAAAAATTGATGTGGGTACTCAAATGAAAGGTCTCGATGAGTGTAACATCGGGATGAGCTTATATCTTTAACAATGTCAATAGTTGACAAGATACAATGTAATTGCTTAATTACTGACATTTTTTATATATTTTATATATATATGATATTTGTAAAATATATAAATATATAATATATATGAAAAATTGATGTGGGTACTCAAATGAAAAGTCTCGATGAGTGTAACGTCGGGATGAGCTTATATTATTAAAAATGTAAATACAGTGTAAACTCAAGGTCATACAGTGTAAACTCAAGGTTGCACTGTAGTTCCCAAGGTACAAAGTCATTTCTTAATTATGTATCTAGAAATA